GAAAATTTACCAAGATTGATTAAATATGCATGAAATTAGCCAATCACGTGATTTACAAAATCAGTCATGCATACGATATCCCACATCAAATTTGATGTGGGAAATTGCACGCATGAATCGTTTGCCCAGGACCTAATTCGAAAAAAAAGAAATCGAGTATGGGACGCCAATTAAATTAGGTATGGCGCGCACTAAGTGCAATAAAGAGTGAGTAACCTAAAATTAGGGCCTGGAACCCAGGCTAACATCAACGTAAACATGGGTATTAATTTTATTTATTTTCTCTTTTTTTTACGATGCTTGACTATCATAGGCCTAATATTCTTTGTATTTTTTTAGTATGATTCAGTGTTTTTTACATTTGTTATATTACAAGTAATTTGAATATAATTTTACTGTGTTCTTTTTTTTTTCTTACAGATTCAGAAGTGAAAATCAAGTACATATTATTTGTATTTATCTATTTATGAATTATTCATAATAAAGGCCTAGGAATTTTGTTACGATTATGAGTTAATTTGTTTAATCAAACATACTTTTATATCAGAATATTAAAATATATTATTTGTAATTCCATTTAAACTATAATATTTTACAATTCATGTATTTTTTTTATAAATATGATCATCAGATTGATGATATACTATTGGCTGTAGGAACAAACGTATATCCTAACAATTTTACTATGTTTGGATGAGGGGTAACAGAAAGCATCATTTTTGCTTCTCGGAATACTGTTGCTCTTAGCTTTTCATCACTGAGGCCCTCAACATTTTTTAAACACCTTCACGGCTACATTATCATTTCGATAGCGATATATGTGCACACGCCCGAAAGTTCCACTCCCAATCCTAGTGTTTAAATTAAATAAATGGTGATAATCGATGTGCGGAATGTGATTAGAAGAGCTTGGTTTTATTTTGGCCAAGTCTTGGATGGCTTTGCATCGCATCTCCAGTTCTTGCTCTAGTCTAATTTTCAAAGATTGTGCTCTTTTTTCTTCCCTCATTCATTTTTCACCCGTTCCTCATATAACGCTGTTTTAATGTCATCCTTCAGTACGGTTTCCTTTATAAGAACAGGTTCCTTGTCCGATTCTCCCTTTCCCTTATTGGTAACACAACTTTCATCTATGGTCATCACAACAGCCTCGCGAATAGAATGTATCCGTCTTTACTTTCCTCGAACCCGGTTTCATTCTTCGAACGAGGTGGCCTATTCCAGCAAAAGCCTACCTGAATAGACGCCCGCGTTTTTGGTCTGTAGTTATGTGTGGGTAATCTTTTAAATAAAAACGCTTTTTCCAGGTACAAATTTCTTTAAAATAACTGCATGTATAATAGCATCAGAGGCATTCATTTTTAACTCGTCAATGTAAAATAAAGTTATAACTAAAGAGAGGGTTGGCTATCTGAACTGGTGTAGTACTGTACTTCGATTGCAATGTCATCGGCTTTATGTATGTTATAACGGCTTGGAATCATCAAAAAGACCGCAATTAACTGATGATCCGTGAAATCGGCCTGCGTTCCTTCTTTTTTTAAAACAGACCCGGATTAATGTTGTCATTTGATAGGCCGGGGTGGGGAGGCAACCCTAGTACAGAAGAGTGAATTGTACATATTATTTCGAATGAGTAAACCGGTTGTTTACAATTTGGTCTATTTGAAATGGGCAGCACATTATTCGAATGGGTAGCACACTATTTGAAATGGGTAGTACATTGTTTCAAATGGCTAGCACACTATTTGAAATGGGTAGCACACTGTTTCAAATGGTTAACAAACGATTTGAAATGGGTAGCCATGATTTAAAATAGGGTAGCACACTACTTGAAATGGGTAGCACATGATTCCAAATGCGTTAAAAAGCATCCATAATGCGCAGTACATTAATTCAAATGGGCTGCACACTTTCAAATGGGTAACATGCGATTTAGGTAGCACACTATAATGCGTACCACTTTTAGTACTTTTAAGTGGTTAGCACATGTGTTTAATTTGGTATTACCTAGATCGTTCAATGGAATGTTGATACCGGGCAACCTCTTTAAAATCATCGAAAAAGTACACCAAAGATAGGCCTCATAGCGACTGCAAAAGATGTCGAAAAATATAATTATGTAGATCGAATATGGCTGCCGATACTGCACATAAAATTTTCAATTAATTTATAATTAAACACCGTACATTTTAATGGCCCATTTCAGGCTTCTTTTATATTCATAAGCCCGACAAAATGACTCTTTCTAGTCATATTCTATAGTTGCGCTATAATTTAATTTCCCACAAATTAGATTCCCATGGTACTCTTTGAGGTGAAGCAGCACAAGGTTTGTATTTTCTTGCTTGTTTTATGTCCATTTTTATTCATATTTAGATGTTTATAAAATACACAGTAAAATGCAGTTTTAATATATAATTTTAAAAAAATGCTAATAGCCATTAAACGGTGGTCTTCGGGCGGGCTTCCTTATAAAGCTACTAGAAAATTTCACTACAGTTACTTCGAGGCCTCCTGTACTAGTTGCCTAGTAACTAACAATAAAATCGGAAAGAAACTTTCCCACAACCAAGGTTCCCATGGTGCTCATGAGGGTGAGAAGGCATATTCTTTGTACGCTGCCTTCAGGAATATCCGTGTTACACTGCAAAGACAGAAGGAGGTCAGACGCTGTGAAGGTGTTCAAGTGTTCACCTACTTCATGTCACCATTAACTTCGAGTATTTGTAAAAAAAATACATGAATTGTAAAATACTATAGTTTAAATGGAATGTAAAAATAATATATTTTAATATTCTGATATAAAAGTATATTTCAAGATTAAACAAATTAAATCATAATCGTAACAACATTCCTCGGCCTTTATTATGAATAATTCAGAAATTGATAAATACAAATATGTACTTGACTTTTTACTTCTGAATCTGTAAGAAGAAAAAGAACACGGTAAATTATATTCAAATTACTTGTAATTAATAACAATTGTAAAAAACTTCAAACACTGAATCATACTAAAAAAAAAATACAAAAAATATTGGGCCTATGATAGTCAAGCATCGTAAAAACAAAAATACAAAATAAATTAATTAATACCCAGTCCGAAACACAAGCACCAAACAAACTTTAAAAATACACAACCCTTTAAAAATTGCTTTCCAAACATAAAGCACTAGTGCGTATATCGGCATTACTTAGAGGCAGTTTATCGCGATTGAAATGCAGAATAATACGGCGCGACCAAAAAGAAGGCGCGACCGAAATGATCCCTTCTCTTTGGTGCTCGAGTAAAGTCTTATTTCTTCACTGGAATATAGTTTTAGATAGCCTATAAAGCCAATCCTATGATAGCCAATAAATTGTAGTGTACAAATACATCGCCACTTCTCCAAAGCTCAGCAAGCGTTTTTCGTTGTGTTCATGCACAAGGAAATCGCGGGCGTGTGTTGTCGTTAACAAGAGGTTAACTTTTGATATGTCGATATCATGTCATGAGCACACTTCAGTAATTATTTAATCACAATCTGTTTACTAAAGAACTAGGTTGATAGGTTGATGTCCTTGGTTCTAAGGTTACACTCTACAGTTGGCCCTAAGGCTGTTTCTATCTACCGCGGTAGACTTGTATGCAATGTGATATGCAAATTTTCTGCATATACAGCCTTGTGTCTACCGCGGTGCGGTAGATTAAGGCTTCCCTAACAATGCTCCCTAACAAGTAAACGGTGAACGCATATAATTGAGTGGTACTTCCTAAAAGCATATTGGTACATAGACATTTATTGAGATATGTAATAATTTGATCTTGGACTTACTTTTCAACAATTTTGGCATACCACTGAGATTGGTCTATAATTGTTAGGGCTTACTGTACCTTTGCATGGGGTAGTCTGGTAGTTATTGAGAATTTCCATCGTTTGTAACAATATCATTCATTAACGATTTATTTATAATGCAACATAGAGATTTTGCGATATAGTGTGATGCAGTAAGTCTTCTTTCTAAAGCCTTATCAAAATTATAAACTGATAAACATGCCATCTTCAATATCGACAGATACAATTGTCGTAAAATTCCGGTATGTCTTCTTTTTTTATTTTAAATTTCCTATATTACTTTAAAATTAATCCCTAAAATTTACTGCAATTAAGATTTGGAAGGATATTGTTTGAATTTTTGTTTCTTTTCATCCTACAAACGTTTGGGATCGTGTTTACATTTGTTTTCAACTGATAAAGTATAATCTGATTTGAATTTTCAGGTTTTACTTGTGCATTTGTTTCTAAATGTAAGATAATTAAAATGTGTTTGCCAGATAAGTGTAAACATGATCACAGTTACAATACATAATCTAATGATATCAGGTGTGATCCATTTCATTTTATTTAAAACTAATATACAATATAATTGTTGATATTGTTCATTGGTTAATCTGATAAAAAAAACATCAATTCAATATTAATCGAATGTACTTTTTCTTTTTCTCATAAGAAGCAGAAATGTTTATTATTATGGTCAGTTCAGTCAGTAGCCGGCTCTCCAAAGATGACCAGCTGAGAACATCTAAAAATTAAAAATTAAAAATAATCCAAAGATTTGTGGTCAAAATATTATATAAATCGGAAGGACTCTTGCTCCAAAACTAACCATGGTGGTACACATCTTTGACATGGTTTGTCAATTAGCAAGCGTCAAGGGCCCTAACTGACTCTTGAACCAGGGCCCCTCACAACCTAGTTATGCCACAATGTAGATATACTGTATGGTCATTATAAACTAATTAAAAATTATTCAAACTTCCATAATTTCAAAGTGTGTTTTTGTCAATGGTGACCGCTGGTAAGCATTTGAATTTGGAGACAACTGACTTTGGAATATGGAATAAATTTTTGGAAATTAGATATAAAGTAACAACAAAACACTTTGTTTCATTTTCAGTGGAAAAATATCCTCTATAACAACTTAATTATATCTTTAATACAAATGGGATGAATACTCACTTTGCCCTGCTGTTATTCTTACAACAGCAGCACCTGCAGACACAGTAAGTAACTGCAATGATGAGAATTCCTGCTATCACACCCATACTGATCAATAACGCTTGGAAATTTACTAGAAGAAATAAGAAAAACAAAAAATGTAAAACTCCCGGTATTAAAATAAACCCATCTTGCTTAAATTCTATCTACTTATGTTATGTATATATTTAATAAAGAAAAATTAATTAATTAGCTCAGTGTAATTACTAAGAAAAAACTGTGTTATTAGCTTTAGAATAGATCGTCGCTCACATCATGAACTAACACAATCAAAGTAGATTGTGTTAGTTCGTGAAATCACAGTAGCGCGTCAAAACTAGCGCGTATTGGTTGTCAAGCAAATTCTGTATTCTTTACCACACAAAAAGTCCTTAACGACAACAGCACGTATTTTGACGCGCTTTTTTGATTTCACGAACTAACACAATTGAATTTAATTGTGTTAGTTCGTGATGTGAGCGACGAGATATATCATCAAAGTACAAAAATCCATTCTATTTAACACAATTATAATTTAGGAGCGGGTAAAAATAAGAACACAAACTAGATTTGAACTCGAAAGAGTCAGGTGATCCACCGCACATTTAAACTTTGACACTCAGGAAGCGGGCAGCAGGGATTGACAAATTTTAAATGCTCAAAGTGGCATAAAACATGCTATAATCTAGTTGAAAAAAGTAATTTTGAGCATTTTAAAAGTTTGGCGCACGTGTACAAGCACGTCATGATGTGCGTGCGCACAGAAATGGCACAAAAAGTTGACTCCTGATATGTGTGATACATGTGTCAACTCTCATTGAAAACACCTGTTCGTGAGGGATTTATAATCAATCACAAAATTTGACAAAGATTTGAAGGCAGAAAGATGAGGTCAGAAAAAACATTCATTTGACCATGATGACATCAACAAAATGAAAAAGTAGTACACACTTTAATATGAAAGTATGAGTATTTTAAAAAATGACGTCATAGATAAAAATTCAGATGGCAATATGATGACATCACAATGTCCGCTCAGCTATAAATGATCTATAAAATCATCAACTCATGTTCTTTCAGAATATGTAATAAAAATTGGTGGGGGGGGGGGGGGGTGGAAGGAGGGTCACTGTTCATCTTAAGGAGCTATAACTGATTAAAAATAGGCATGATTTTGGCGTATTTACACTGTACGTCGACACAAATGGATGCAAGAATTCGTATGCTTGATGCGCGAATACGGCATTGCTATTGGCCCTATTAAAGATGACTGAAAAAGAATGGAAATATGTGTATACAGTGGAAGGAACCCAAAATATGAGGCAAGTCGTGGCGAAATGGTTGTCGCACAGACCAGTATTGAGTAAATGAGCTATAAAATATGGGAACTCAAAAAACTGCCTAAAAATCCAAATTTGTTTTTCACTCTAGATCAACAGTTTGATGTCTTATTTAATCATGTCCCAAAGTATTAGTTCTGGAAGTGGTCAACAAATTGTTTATTTAACATTATTTTGATAGTTCATTCTGTTAATTAATGAATGCACAAATAACTTTGAAAGGCAATTTAATACTCAAAATCATGTTTATCTTGACAATAAGAGTGTGGTACTTTCACTTTCCAATAACTGAGGAATAAAAATGTCCAATTTCAATGAATGACCCCCTCATTTTAAAGATCACATACTCAGGTATCTGAAAATACCGATAACTTGAATTTCAATTTTTGCTACAACTTAGCCATTTTGCCACAACGTGCCTCATATGTTTAAAAAAAAAAACATAATTTCTAGCTTCTGTGCATGCTGCGCTCGTAAAAATTTGTGCGCGCATCGGAAAATACGAAAAATTTGAAATGCGCGCAAAATGGCCTGAAACGTGCTCTAATTTAGTCAAAAAGTGATTTTGATGCACACATTCGCATGCATGAAAAATTAAGATACATGACATTGAACCTTGACCTGAAGTTTATTCCCACTGAATATGATTTAGAAATAACAATTGGTTAGGATGATATGATCGATAATGAAAAACACACAAAATTGCACATAGAGGACCTCACACATGACCAATCACATTGAAAACCTTACTGTGACTCTTCCAGGCCAAGCAAAATGATTGTACAGTCGACCTCCCTATTTACGTACACCTTGGGCTGAAAGCAGTTTGCAATTGAGAAAATTCGTAAATGAGAAGTTCATAAGAATAGCGCCCAAGTTCAAAAACGCCAAGTTGTAACCTATAGGCCTGCCTACCAATATCTAGGCTTAATTTTGCATTTAAGAGTTCAATAAACATTCATAGAAATCGTTGACGAATCAATTAAATGTTAATGCAAGACAAACTTATATTAAATATCGGTTCATAGGCTACGTTCCAGCACTTATTGTTTACCTCTGAATAGGCCCATCTTCTCTGATTCATTATAACATAATTTTAACGCCAAAAGATTCTTTTGCACTTCTTGTAGAAACCTCCGCTGGCCACATTTTGGAAATACTATGTCATCTGTAGTAGCGGAACAACAATGAGAAAATTTCCCATGACAAATTCCCATCTAGCGCACTGAACTACTTCCCTACATTCTTAACTTTACATGCGCGCGAGTCGGAACGTATACCGGTACGGCATCTTTGATTAGGGCAATATCCCAGACTGGTGTTCTCAGATGAGGTCGATCACTTGAATGGCATCCCTGGATGGTGGCATGCTATACGGTATATTTAGTGCTTTAGTGCAGAGAGAAAAATCACATTTCGTTGGGGAGAAAAAAAGGTATTTTCGACATACTGTATTTATCATTCGATTAAATATTAATCTTATGGACTTTTCTCTCGTCTGGTACATCGGTCCCTCTCTCGGGGAATCACCACCCATAAGAGTTTATCTTTCCTGATTCATTATATCTGATCTGATATTCACTTGATCTGATTTCTTTTTTCTATTTATATATTTATTTTTATTCCTGGTGTTTTGCTAATTTATACCTTTAAATGTTTAAATACAAATTTTATTAATTCGTTCCTTTCATGATGGGAACCACTTGATAGTAGATTTAGTTCGCTTTTTGGTTTCCTCTCCTCTGTTGTCCTGCCGTCCTTTTAAATTGTACTTATATATTTTTGTATTTGTTGAGAAAAATAAATGAAATGAAACATACACATTAATTTTATTTGAAGAAAAGCAGACGTCAATAATTAGTTTTTTACACTTTTTTTAGACACCTCCGTATAACATGAACAATACTAGGGCATACCATCATTATAATAGCAAAAACATTGGTGGTGGGGGAAATATTGGGGAAATCTGGTAAACATTGAACAAAGACATCTGGTATCATCCAAATATTTGTGAGAGGTCTGAGTGTTTTCTGTTGGTATTCGTGTGTTATCTCTGATATTCAACCCTGTAATCAATGGCCCTTTTCCAGAATCTCTGGATCAGCCCTTGCTGATATCAAAAGAAGTAGATATTCAGCCCCGGAATCAAGGGTGGGGGACATACAAGTTTGCAAGTTGAGCTCTAACGGTGGCAGACTGAGGTAGGTGGACGTGGCAATTCTAAGACTTGCGTCTCCCACCCTCGTTGGTCCCCAATGATCAACAAGTCTAGCAACATGGGCTGAGATGTACCGTATACATTTTTATTTCATCTCCATTGTTGACAAAATATTTAAACTAACATTGTTATATCAATCTTTTCTACCGCACTAACAATTTTAAATTTGATACTGATATCATTTCAACACTTCATCATCAATCATTGTTCACTTAACATGTTGAATTTGTTGAATTGATTGTTAATTTGTTGAGGTATACACTATTGGTTCCCAAGCTGATGAGTGCACAATGCATGCTTTCATAACGTATAGCATGTTTCGTATGCAGGCGATGCCAACCAAAAGTACCTCCTTAACACAATAGAGGATCGAAACAGCTAATGCATCAGTAAACTGCTGCAGGGCCGGGCATAGGCCCTGTATAAAAGTCAATACTTTGGGGAAAAAAATCTTTAAAAATTCAATGGCGATGCTTTAGCTGTCCTTTGGGTTCAAGTTATTCACTGTTAGGTTATCTGTTTCAGAATATTTATTATCATAATAGTCCAGTCCGAAATGTAGCAATATCAGAGGTTGCATTTTTTTTTTGCTATATTTTTTAAAAATTGGATATGATGTAGAGTAGACATTGATAAATCAAAAAAGTATGTGCAACATTTTTTTTTTCATACGCAAGGGGGGTTGCCAGCAGTTTCAAAATGGCCACCATTTTTTCCTAAAATTGTCACGAATATTGTAAGTTTGTTAATAAAATGCAGCAATCAATTGGAAATTCACTCATAACAATGACAACAACAGTTAACTAAATATTGTACACATGTTTGAGATATTACAGTTTAAAATTGCTGTCATTTTCCATTATTTTTGCTTTTTAGCATACATATTAATATAATATATATATATATGTAATATAGATATATATATATATATATATATAATATAGATACATATATATACATATATGTACATATACATATATACAGTATATATACATATAAATACATATACATATATATATATACATATACATATACATACATATACATATATATATATATACATATACATATACATATATGGTGCACTTAAAACTGATCTCTTCCGTAAACCCACGGATAAGCATATGTAACTGCTCCATAGCAGCTGTCACCCCCCGCACTGTACAAAAAACATTCCGTACAGCCAAGCATTGCGCATGAGACGCATTTTTTCTTCGGATTTAGATTTTAAGAATCGAACAGAACTATCCGGACATCTCCGGAATAGAAATTATCATTGAGGACCCATTGAAAATGCTATAAAAAAAAGCAAAGGACATACCTCGTGCTCAAACACTGACGTACAAACCACGTCAACAATCAACCAAATTGCCACTGGTCACTACCTATCACCCTAGGTTACCACCACTAAGGGCTATAATTCAGAAGCATATGCCCATTCTACAGACCACAGAACGTCTTAGGTCTGTTTTTCCGGATACACCGTTCATAGCCTATCGCAGACCACCTAACCTTCGTGATATATTAGGGAGCGTC